CGTCCATACAGTGGACTTCATCAGGAGACTGTACAAATGGGATAAGAAACAACTATAATATACAACTGAAATAATGGGGGCGGTCCTAAAACAACCAAGAATGGTGTACAAAGCAAGTACAAGTCTGCCGAAATAAGCAATCTAAATAAACAGTATTAAAAGAAATAGCATACAAAATATGACATATTTTGTATGCTATTTCCCACAGTTTCTTATCATTGATCTTTTGTTCTTTTAATACTGTTTATTTAGATTGCTTATTTCGGCAGACTTGTACTTGCTTTGTATACCATTCTTTGTTGTTTTTGGACCGCCCCCATTATTTCAGTTGTATATTATAGTTGTTTCTTATCCCATTTGTACAGTCTCCTGATGAAGTCCACTGTGTGGATGCAAGCTAGAGAATAAATTATATGTTGTTAGTCTCAAAAGTGCTGCTGTTTTTTACTTTTTACTTTAAGAACCTCCAATAAACCCTCTCTCTCACTCTCCAGAATTCCATTTGAAATACCTGATTTTTCTTCTTGATACTCTACACTCTTCCCAAAATGACTGAGAAGAAAATTAATGACAGCAACACCGTTCTATTATTACCAATATTTTATAGTAGAATTTAATTTTTGCTAGCATGATGATACAATAACTTTTTGAAAATAATTTACTGAATGTATTATAACGTTTAATGTAATGTTTACAAAAAAGCCTCCCTCCAATATATACCACTCATAAACCTTTGAACAATAAACATCTTGAGACATGAATTCAATCAAATATGTAAGCTTATAAATTGTAGAGTAGTCATGGAGTCATTGTCTTTAATTTAAATAATGTTAATTGTGTTGGTCAAAAATAGAAAAGACAGAAAAATAAATTCACTTAAATAGTTAGCAAGATTTTCAAAAGTTAAAGTAACATTTAAAAATTGTAGCCGTAAATGCTGTTACTCATCACTATTTTCTACCTGCGGCTTTTTTGCCAGCTTCATAAGGTGACTAGATTTATAGATTCATTTTGAATAGTCACAGCGTCTACTGTTGAGCTATAATTCTAATGATCGCTAACGGTCACTTCACCAACACAGACACCACTTTCCATACAAATTTCTCCTCTAAATCTAAAAGACAGCTCAATTGTAATGTTTCTGCATTTGATCATTACCGTACGATGTCGTCACCTCTACATACCTTGTCAGAGTCAAACACATTGAACACAAATCCTGCAAATTTACTTGGATCGCCATTTGGAAAAAATTGATGATAGATAGTCTGGAATTCCTAAAAAAAAAAAAAGACACAAAAATATCAATTAATGATATATATTTACATAATTGTGTGAATAGTCTTGGTTGCTTACAAGTAGCACTAAGAAGCCAGTTTTTAATTTTGCAGCCAGAATGTGAGGTGATTATTAATGCGATCATGACCACATTTAATAGGCAAGTCACATTTTTTTATGCATAGGGCTTTACAGTAATAATCATAAAAATAATAAAGCAGCAGTTTAAATGTAGCACCTATCTAGCGTGCTATTCTGAGGCACAGTGACTCTTGACGAAATGAAAAAGTATTTACTAATTTAATACTGTATGTATATTGATTTGTTGGAGAAGCAACACAGTGAGTCTAAATTTTACAAAAAATATTATAATCAAAAAGTCATATATAAATAAATGAAAAAAGATTATATAAATTGGAATAATAAAATCAATGTCTGCTTGGTATTCCATCACACACCCAATAAAAAAGGAGATATTAGAATTTTGAGTAGATAAAGGAAGATTGAAAATAAATGTACATCAGTAACATTTATACACAAAAATGTTAAAATTCAACGAAAACTTTAAATTACAAATCATAAAGTCAATGATATCACTGATAGAGAAAATGAGTTTTTAGCTGATTTGTAGTGTAGACCTTTCACTACAATAACCTTTAAAATGATTACCAGCCGAGGACGTTATTCTTCATTCTAATTTTCAATACTGCTAATAAGTTCCGTAAATATACAAAGTAATTGATATACTGTATTTAATATTCAAGTTGTTTAGCTCAATGACGACAGTTCACTGCATCTTTCCCATTGGCTCAAATTAAATTATGACATCAGCTCGGATGTGAAGTTTGGCTGCATGGTGTGATAATGCTTAGCAACTAAGGGTCACTATGTTTATTGTCTGGTATTAAAAACAGAGTGACCCATAGTTGCTAAGGATACATGATACTGTAAAGACATTAGAGATACAGAGATCATTACAGACTCTGAACATGAGTTACATACAAATTAGACTTTCTTTAAAGGAAGACATTTTGTAAAAACACAAACCAATGTAATATTCTTGAATCTTAATCATGGCTCTTGATGATTTTTTTTTCATTTCGATTGTTTGTTGTCACCTAATATGAAATTAACAGTCTTATTTCCATTAGAACAAGGAGAAATTTTGTGATTAGACTGTAGAAAGGTGATTTGGAGAGATGACCTTCAGAAATATTTTCTTATACTTTAGAGCCTGTTTTGCTATTATGTGATGTTATTAAGTGAAAAATAAACAGCAAAAAAGACTGTCCTAATGAAAGAAAGTGGTATAGGCGTAAAGGAATTCTACAGCAATAAAATGACACTGACAGCAGAATAAAGGAAGATTGACACTAGCACTTATGAAGAGAGAAGCAGAGAAGATTTTTAAAAGAAGAACCACAGGAAAGAGTACTTAATGATGATGAGGTAGCAAATAAAGTATGATGATCTGGTAAAATGAACTATAGCTCAAGTGAACAATGGACATTCCCATTAAGCTCCACCCCTTGGATACTGTTGCCAAGGTAATAATACGCAAAAAATGTACATTCCTGGGACAACACATGTGTTTGTGACACGCGCGTGTTCCTGGCCCTGTTTTGATTGGTCAGTTAAGTTTGATTGACACTCCTGAAAGGTACTCCATCAAAGGCAACTGATGATAGTGTGTTTCTACTGAAAATCAAGGTAGAAAGGGTTCTCTGATCACTGGTTGGTATTGTTAATCAGATTACCATGATGAGTACTAAAAAGCACAGGACAAGGACATGATTCTATACCATAGAAGTACTGCGACACAATAACATCCATTTTCTACTACTACAGGAAATTATTCTTTGAAAGAACCAATCGTAGTAGTAACCATTTTTTCTTAGCCTGTGGAAAGGAACACACCCTGAGATACTACAGTACAAAAATTACCATCTTTGGTATTCATACAATAACTGCCTATGTTCAAAACTGCCTCTCACATCATTCAACACAAGTCAGGTCAATGTATGGAACATTATGTGTCTGTCAGTCAAGGGCATATATTATCCAATAATATAGCAAGCTGTCACATAATACTACAGTGTATACCTTGAGCGCCTTCAGGTAGTGATGTGCATATTAAACATACAAATGTAATATGCTTTTTAGCATTGTTATCATCATCATTTTCCCTGTTATTACTATTGCTTTTATGATACAGTACCTTAACTGTATGGTACTCATAATTACAGTAAATTATCACTAAATTAAATTAATTTGTTTTTGCCATAGAATTTATTAGTATGATGAAAAGATCATTTAACCATAATTTTATACTGTACATCTAAACTGACCTCTCTAAAAAGTCATAACCTCTGGGGGTGGGGGGGATTAACTCCAACCTGGGCCTTGCCATTTGACCCTGAAGGGTTCCCTAAATGGTTCCCTAGCAATCACCGATCACCTGTCATAGGGCTTTCTCTTGGTGACCGTCATTTTGTTGAGATAATACACTTTCATGTTTATGAGCTACTGTAGGCTACAAGCTGGGAGTTGAGGATTCACTACTGTACATACTGCATTACTAATTTAGGGTCTAGCATATTATTTATTATCATTGTATGGTTCTATAATTCACCATTCCCAAGAGAGGATCATGGTACTCACAAGCCAAGACTTAATGAGAAAACATGTGTGTTACGTCGTCTTTAGATATTATCAGAATTAGATCATATAATATCAATAGACAAATGTATTTGATAACATTTAATGTAGTTGTTCGAACACACCAGCAGATAAAGCAGTGTACAGTATATATAATGGTAACTACAGTACCGTAGTATGTTATTTGTACTGCTTAAGAATATTGATACATTACATGTACTAATAACTAAAATGTAATCCCAAAATTATATGTTAAAGTTTTAATTTTTATACTGTAATATATTATAATAATTATTATTCAGTGAATGACATGCGATTTGTTGTTGAGTCTAGAGTAGGCATACCCATGTCAAATTCCATCAAATATAAGGATCACATAATTATTTTCCGGGTATTAAACCATCAGTAATTGTCAAATATTATAAGATCATCGATCATTTCAAGTTTATTGAAACGACCAAACTAGATCCTCTAATATTGATATATAAATGTTGACAGATTTGATACCATTTACCATACAGTCAGTAGATGTCCTTGCATAGCAGCACCAGAAAAAGAGTGTAATATCTAAATAGTATGTTATGAATAGTATCTAAAAGCTAAAATAGAAGCATGTTAAATCATAATCGCATAATGTAATACTGCCCTGTCCACTTTCAATTGTAATATTTACTACATTATTACAGTAAATGTCAATTTAGTAACAGTAATTTTCTAAATATTAATCATTATGGGAAGATTAATTAAACTTTAGATTTCATATGGTGCTCTGTTAATTGAAAAATAAATTAAAGTTTATTATATAATTTTAATATTATTAGAGAAAATACAGATCCATATTCACACAGAGAAATTTTCAAGATCAAATGTGAATAACAAATTAAAATTATAAGAAGCCAGATGAAAGTAAATTTAGTTACACTGTTGTTGGTACTGGTGTAGAATGATGCGGAGAGCTATAACCACTGCATTACAGAACCACTGCATTATAGAACCAGGTCCTATGAAGGTCATTGGATTTTCAGTCAATCTAGAGTACCATACGTAAATTTTACAGGTAGAGAGGGTGAAGATTAAGCATTTCATATTAATTTTGCTTTGATTTTATTATTTTTATCAATTTGTAGTTTGTTATTTTTACTGTATGTTAAAATTTTGTATTTGTGATTATTAGTGTAAGATAAGAGCAAAAGTGCACATTGTTTGTTCAGAATAATTGTTTATTTCCCTGGCAAATGATATATACATATAATCTTAAATGCTAAATCATCGTCATCATCATCATCGTCATCATCATCGATAGAAAAATCCTGTGCAAAAATATAGGAAGCTGGATAGCATAATAATAAGAATAAAAAATCATTTGTGACTTCACAAAACAAAATTAGACTTATAGGATTATATAATATATACCATACATATTATACTAAGTAGTGGTGAAATATGACTCTCAGTAAAATTAGGTGTTTTAGAAGGAAACGCAGTGATTTAAATACTCTTCTATATTGTATAGTGCAAAAACATTAAAAAAACTTGGCTTTACTACACTCAAGAGGAGCCGGAGACAACCTGCGAAACATACAACTGACATTAACTATGTTAACAACATTACAGTAATTACTGACAATCTCTGATGCACTGATCCTACTACGAAAAGGAGAAACAGCTGCTAAGGAAATTGGGCTACGCATAAATGTGGAAAAAACAGAATATATTTCAAACAGTAATAAAATGTTGGAGATCGAAAAAGGAAAAGTGGTATTATTCTTTTTGAAAAGAAATTGCAAAATCCAACTAATGGGAAAAATAATTTCTTCAGATCAGCAATCAAGAGAGTCATCTTCTATGGTGCCAAAACACTGATTGCTGAGAATGTCCAAAAGTATTAGATGGAATATGCACAAGAAAACTCTCCTATAAATATCTACTGATTACAGACACTGTACAGTAAATGTGTTATTGATATCCTTGGCCCAGACAATGCGCCTAATTAAACAATAACATAAAAATATCCACACAAAAAAAGCCCTATGGTAAGTGCAACTCATTGATTAAACTTGATTAATACCATAACTGAGTGATAATAATCTTCAAAAGAGAAATACATCACTTTAAAGCATCCACCTGCAATACTGTGTATTTTAACATTCTGTACTATTTATAATTTAAATAAAACAAATCATTTATTGTAAAAAGAGATAGTTCATCATTAATAAAACATAAAAAGATATTAAATGTATTTAATATAGATTAATAGTATCTATAGTATCATATGAATTTGAAGTGAAGATGCCAATATAACACCTTTTGAACTAAACACCTCTTAAAATTACTTACTGCACTTAAATATTTATTATAGGGGTTTAAATAAGTCCGAGATGGCAGAAAATAACATATTTCTGTCTAGAGAGTCAAATCCCTGACTTAATTGTTATTGGTTGCTCTACGAATGGTCAACATGAACTTGGATGGTACTGTTATAGATGCAGACAATTTCAATATGAATTTTAACTACCAGTAATTAACATAAGAAGCAATATTTGCCAATATAAAGAGTCTCATAATTTTAACTACCATGTCTGTCTCAAAGGTCAATTAATCTAGCCTGTAGTATCACAAATCAAGCATCGACAGTAGATGCCCTTGTATAGTCCAACCTCAGGTATATCATCACCCCTGACTTTACATCCAACAGGTCCCCGGGTGAGTAGTACAAATGCTCATCAAAAATAAAAGAAAGGAATTGGCTTCGAATTCAGCAGACTTTAAACTCTTCCAATTGATTAGACATTGGTCGCCATAAAGTTGTAATACAAAGCTCATCCTTGTAAATTCTAGATGTTTATTTACTGCAGCTAAAAATAACCAACAGCTCGCTAACTGCGGCTAAAAATAGACAACGTGCAACATCGCTAAAGAGACCCGCCCTGTGGCCCAATCGGATCGTTGGCAGCGTAGAGACTCATGTGAAACAGCCTCTCGCTGCTAAAAATAACTCATTACATCATGCATTACAAGTGGGCGGTCTTTCACATTGCGATGAGTAATGGGATTGGAAAGCAATCTCCGTCAACTATCAATGGGCAAAAATAACTGCGGCCTGGGAGGCTTGCAGGGAATTTTGAATAAAATTAGCAGTAATGTACTGTATTCATATCCTAAATCTAGTACAGCATTTGGGCTACAATCAATAGACATGGACCTACAACATCAAGAAAGCAAGTGATGAAACATTGTTTGTAGTCTGCGCTGCAGCGTCACTGATTGGGCCGCTTCCTGCTTCAGGCAAAAGCTGGCCTAGTGCGAGGTAAGACCAAGATATAGCCTAGGCGCCTAGGCCTACTAAATACAGACAGGGTGTTCCCTCCCTTTGATGCTGGAGTAAAGTCTGATTTCTTCACCAGATTATAGTTTTGGATACGCCATTGAATCGTAGGGCAATTGTGGTTCAAATGCATACCACTTCGCAAAGCGAGTCATTTTTGCTTCATGCACAGGGGAATCCCCGGGTATAATCCCCCCCCCCCCCCCCCCACCCCCCCCCCACCCACCACCCCAACCACCA